AGGAAGGGAGGAGGAAATAATAATAAATACTAATAATACTAAGAAAAAAAGGAGGAAAAAGAAGAGAAAAAACCAAACGAAATGAAGGAAAAGGAGAAACAGAAGAACAAGAGAACGAAATACGAAAATGAGAAGACGTGGTGATTTTGCAACGGATAATTTGCAGCGAGGATAACACTGACACGAAATTAATGACACGATTAAGTAATGAAAGAGACTGCAAGCTGACTCCTGATACACACGGACTGACTTTTCTCTTTCTGCAGTGTGTGTGTGTGTGTGTGTGTGTGTGTGTGTGTGTGTGTGTGTGTGTGTGTGTGTGTGTGTGTGTGTGTGTGTGTGTGTGTGTGTGTGTGCGTGTGTGTGTGTGTGTGTGTGTGTGTGTGTTGTGTGTGTGTGATGTGTGTGTGTGTATGTGTGTGTGAGTAAACGAGTGTGTGTATTTCTGAATGTGTTGTAATGCGCGCGTTCTATGATGATAATGAAAAATCACGAAAAAAAAAAAAAAAAAAAAAAGAAAGAAAAAATTATCCCACCTACCGCCAGTACCCCCCCCCCCATCCCCCGACCAGCGTCTCGTAGGACAAGAATCCCTCAAGGAATGGACCCGGCGAGGCGTCCCCCTTCGTCGGCCTAAAGCGATGGTCACACTAGTCTTCTCTGTCTCGGGATCCCCAGACAGCCTCGTCGAAGTCTGGTCAACTACACAGCTTGGGATTGGTCAGCCGGTCAGACTTCGGCGAGGCTGTCTAGGGATCCCAGGATAGGGAAGACTAGTGTGACCGCAGCTTAAGGCGCCGCGGCAAGGAACCCCGACTCAGGTGTTCGTTCTGATGATGCTGTAGGTTCGGGCAATTCAACCCAGCTTATGGCCTTTTTAATTTTATTGCAAGCTGATTTATGGTGGGATATTAAAGTAATGGTGTTTTTTTGATGATTAATGTTTACAAAATAACTAACGACGGACATGCATTGAATAATTACTGTTTTTTTTTTCTTCTCTCTCTCGAAACGCGGGCGGGCAGTCTACATACACCCGGCGGCCAGGTACAGTTTCCAAGAGTTTCAGTTTGCGTCAGAAAAGACCGGCTTCTCGTCTTTCAAGTTCGAGTAAGACACATAACAGATGCGTTCGAGATCAATTTACTCACCAAAAACCCTATTCGGAAACGGACGAATCTCTATAATGAGACTAAAAACAAAAGCAATGAAACGACAATTCGAGTTTTTGAAAAGCTCCTCTGAATATGCAACAGACAGTTATGCAGGGCACGACATGCATATGATGTAAATATTTAATGGCCAACCTTATGACTGCCTGCGACAAAAAAAAAGAAAAAAAGACAGAAAAATAAAGACAAACTGTACATGCACATAAAAAGCACAAGGAACAAGATAAGTCATCACTACGGCAAGCACAGCCAGACATGAGGAAGCAGGAGCCCCATCAGGACGTGAGCGAGATGACTGCCGTCCCAAGGCGCTTGCAAGAGCAGGATTGAAACTACGAGGCAACGGGTGAAGGACGTGGCGTGTGAGAGGCAGGCGGGGGTCGGGAGGCGGGCGGGTTCGGTACACAGACAAAAATGGCAGAACAGTGCGAAAGCGTGCAAGGTGGAGACGAGTGGTGGGGCTTACAGGCGGGAGTAGAGTCGGTGTTGGAGAGCGTTGGTATAGACGCCGCTGCCAGTGAGATAAATTGGGTGGATTTAGAGAGATGCTAAAGTAATGGGGACAAGGTGGGGTCGAGGGGCAGGGGACTAACATCTACAGAATAGAAGTTCTGTTAGTTCGTACAGTAGGCACAGGCCTACATTGTGAGGCATGGAAGGGTCAGTGATATCAGTATATAGTGAGACATCGGGGCCTTGTGCAATGAGTGTTAATCCATCTGAACGAAAGTCCAATTACTGAGGAGCTCTAACCAAAAAACATAAATGGAAAGAGATGAAACTGTCTTTATTCCAGTTCACAGGAAGGGAATTCCGTCCGACGTACCTGGTCGAGTCGAGTCGTGCCATCTCCTTGGTCTTCAGGGCGTCGTCCGGGGAGAGCCTGCAGGTGTACACGAGGGCGGCCGCCAGGAGGGCCACGTGGGCCGCCAGCAGCAGCAGCGCCGGCCCGACGAGGAAGAACACGAAGTAGTTGTCAGTCCTGAGCCAGCAATACTGATCGGTGCCATAGCTGAAGGGGTCCACAACCGCAGCGGCGGCCACCACCAGGAGCGGGAGGCCGTAGGCCAGGGTGTAATGCCACCACCGCAGTCGCAGAGAATCGCATTCTACTGCTCGAGCAACACTCATATAAACGTGAACACCTGTAAGAGAAGATAGTCGAAATATAACTCTTGCCACGTTAGCGAGGGCAGGAAACAATTATCATCATGACCAATTTACAAACAAGAGAGTCAGCCACGTACCTTCCATGAACATCCAAGCGAATGCCGAGAGAACCGTGTAGTGCAGGACGCCGGCCACCACGCCACACAGCACTGGGGTGTCGGTCCTCCACACCCCGACAAGAAACACCAGTTCGGCCGCGGTGAGGCAGATGCACACATGTCTATGCACAGCGGTTCGGGGGGAGGCCAGGCTTCGGAAGACCGAGAAGACCAGCAGAGACCCGCCCACACACACGAGGCTCACGACGCACCCAACATAAGCCAAAATGCGCAAGGCTGCTTGTGGATCCTCCGCCGCTCCACCGGTGGACTTCTCCATCAGAACGGCAAAGTTCGTAAGGTGATCGCACTGGCAAGTGACGTGCGAGCGATTGTGGAACATGACGCGACAACCCTCGTCGCTCCACGCTGACGTGGTGTAGTCCCAGAAGGCACACACGGGGCGAGTCACATTCTCCTGTCGCAACAGCGAGAAAGTGAGAGTAACGGGCTCAGGCAACTGAATGTGGCGACCGTGACCCAGTGACGCTGACACGACACGCGAGTTCACTAGCCGTGTGATGTTTCCTGACCGATGGCCAAGAGGTTCCGAGCCCGGCGCAAGCAGGTCCTCCAGGTGCTGGTACGTGAGAAACACAACTCTCGTCGTGCCGCCATCACTGTTTTCGAGGATGGCCTCAGGGGGGAGGGCGACGGAGTCGGTGAAGCCCCAGTCCACAGTCTGATCTTGGGCAGAAGGGAATGCCACAGAGGACCCATCGGCCGTGACAGCCCGCGCAGACGCCAGCACGTGAGACTTATGGTGCACCGCTTCCGTGCCCGTAGGCAGGACATCGGCCAGAAGGAACGACGCCTCTTCCAGGGCCACCATGAGCTGCGTCACGGCGTGGCGTCTCTCCCTCACCGCCAGGTCACCCCAGGGACCTGCCATCCCTGCCGCCAGCAGGGCAGACCCCGTAGCGAGCGCCGACTGCAGCATCTCCGTCACAACGGCCTGGCGCTGGCGCGGCTCTGGGAAGTCATCCAGGTCGTCCGCCATGAGGGTGGCCAGCGTGGAGAGGAGGCGAGCCGTGGTGATCAGATCGCCGCCGTACAGAGCTTTATTTTCTGTCACTTTCGCCAAGTCGGCCGTCACGCCGATCAGCGAATCGTGAGAATTAGCTCGGGTCTCGAGCGTGGCCAGCCAGACGCTGCGACATTCGCTCAGGTCAGCAGGACCCGCCCAGTCCACCGTCTTGCACGAGCGCCTCGCCCATCCGGAGGCGCCCCCTGGACACGGCTGCACCGCAATTTCCCCGCTGCGAGTCCAGTTCCAGTAGAGTCCGCGAGCAAACGAGGGAGGACAGTATGGATTTTCATAGTCCCCATCCACACGCGGCGGAGGCACGGGCGGCGAGTGCGTGCTACTACCTGGGGTCGAGGAGCTACTCGGGATAACAGTAGAGGTAGAGGTAGAGGTAGATACTGTAGAAGACGACGGCATAACTGGAGCAGCGGGAGACGTGGCGTTTTCCATGGGTGCTGTAGCGGGCGCCTCGGCCTCGGGGCCCTCCGCTGGCTCCTGACCTTGCGGTTCCAAGTCAGGAGCCTGGGTGGTGGTGGTGGTGCTCGTGGTGGTGGTGGTCGTGCTTGTGGTTGTTGTGGTGGATGTGGTGGTGGATGGCGGGAGGGTGGTCGTCGTGGTTGTACTGTAGTTCGCGTACAGAGTCGGAGGCGTCCTAATCGGGGCTCTCGTATGCATGTACCACGGCGGCCGCGGCCTGGAGGTAGTGGTGGTGGTCGCGTCTGCAAGGAACACACATTTCAAATTATGCTCCAAAACTAAAAAATATGTCTTGGACAGAATAGAAACCTGCGAGTCTGGTTATGTGAACTGTTTGAAAATAGATCACATATTCCATACTAACCATGCGAAGTTAAATCCAACAACTCAATGACGCTACTTTGAAATCATAACTTTAATATCATTAATGACGCTACTTTGAAATAACCTTAACTTCAAAACTGCTTGAGACAAACGAACAAGAGCAAGACAAAATTCAGATCAGAGCGCCAGGAGGAGGACAGTGCCAGGGGGAGGGCAGGGCCTTGGGAGGACAGTGCCAGGGGGGGACAGTGCCGGGGGAGGACAGTGCCGGGGGAGGCAGTGCCAGGGGAGGGCCAGGGGGAGGGCAGTGCCAGGGGGCAGGACAGTGCCAGGGGAGGACAGTGCCAGAGGGAGTGCCAGGGGGGGGACAGTGCCAGGGGAGGCAGGGCATGCCAGGCAGTGCCAGGGGGAGGAGTGCCAGGGGGACAGCAGGGGGACAGTACCAGGGGAGGACAGTGCAGGGCAGGCCTTGGAAGGACAGTGCCAGGGGGAGGGCAGTGCCAGGGGGAGGGCAGTGCCAGCGCCCCATGCTCCGACGCGACATTAACATGCAAATGGCACCGCCTCTCACAACGCTGGCAAAGTTTACGTCTAAGCGAGGCCCGTTTTGATGTGGCTCTAATGACGTTATAGTTTGTCTCAACTACTAAACGATTCAACATGAATAGCTGATGGAGCGAAACTCGTGTTGCGACAAATTGCGGAGGCGCTTGTTGGCCGCCCATTAGAAACTATTTAGCAGAATTTCTGAGAGTAATTGATGGCTTAGAGGTATGTTAGTAGATACAAACTCAATCGTACACAAGTTAGAAGAATGTACTACATCCAGGACTGCTTTATCTTAGCAAGTCCCTCTCAAATAACATGCAAATCTACGGTCTAGCTCTTAGCCCTCAGGACAGCGCCGGAGGAACTAAGTTACAGAGAGTCAAATACTGAGAGTGAGGGCGTGGCGAAGGAGAAGGGAGGGCGTGTATTACCTGTGATGCAATTGTAATGCGCCTCCAGGTACTTGTGCGTACCAGGGCAGCCGTCCCCGAAGCGAGCCGTGTTGGCCTCGATGGTGCAAGACGGCTTTCCCGAGCAGCTTGCGAAGGGAAAACAATTTTGAGCGAAGCAACCTTACTCACATTGCAACGCGACTGGGTGGTTAGGTTCTACATATATAGGGAAACCATACAGAGAGACAGAAGCTGGCTGCGCATTCGCGTGCTTGCGGAACACACGCACGCACACACACACTCACACTCTCTTTCTTTCACACACTCACACACACACACACACACAGACGCACACACACACACACACACACACACACACACACACACGCACGCACGCACGCACACACACACACACGTACGTAGGCTCGCGCGCGGAAACACGAGGTAAGACGGTTTACTAAAACTCGTCCATGATGAAGGAGGAAGAGCCCCATGATACAACCCTTGGCAGAAGTGGGATTAAGGACAACGTGGCGCCGATAAGAGAGCGGAGCCATTGATTGCGGCGATAAGGTAGTGTGGCAGAAGAACAAGGTGCGAGGTATTAACTTTATGGTACGACTCTGCACGACCATCCTACCCGCCCCGCCGCCGCTCCGACCCCAGCGTGAATGGCTAGAATTAACCTTTACTACGGCCAGTATATAAATCTGTAATGATATAGTCTCGTAAATTGTCCGGGGGGGCGCGATAGAGGTGGACGAAACGTTCATCTTAAATAGTGAAGTTTTAATAATGGCCCATCACCCCCAGCTGGCGTCCAGGAGGCGGGGCGGGCGGGCGGGGTGCCAGGGGTACGAGAACTCCGCAGTCAAGGCCCCAGGAAAATAAACTTCGGGCTTATGGATGCCTCCTACCTCCTACCTCCTACCTCCTAAGATACGCGTCTGGAGGCTTAAGAGTCTCCGGGATGCTTATCGAAGGCCCGGACCGGCCCCTGAATATCAATTTCAATACGATCACATTACGACACGAGTGGCTCCTGGATTAGATAACGAGAGAGCATCCATCACACAGACAAAGCTGCCCACCCTTGAGGATACGCGGCCGGGGGGGGGGAGGGAGGGAGAGAGGAGGAGAGAGAGGGAGGGAGGGAGAGGGAGAGGGAGAGGAGAGAGAGGGAGAGAGGGGGAGAGAGAGAGAGGAGAGAGAGAGAGAGAGAGAGAGAGAGAGAGGAGAGAGAGAGAGAGAGAGAGAGAGAGAGAGAGAGAGAGAGAGAGAGAGAGAGAGAGAGAGAGAGAGAGAGAGAGCACGAACGAAATAAATAAGGAAGTTCAGATACGAGAGAGAGAGAGAGAGAGAGAGAGAGAGGAGAAGAGAGAGAGAGAGAGAGAGAGAGAGAGAGAGAGAGAGAGAGAGAGAGAGAGGAAGGGGGGGGGAGGAGAAGATTTAAGGTGGGATGGAGAGCAGTAATAGTGTCGGCTCCGCACACCTTTGGCTAGACAATTAACTCCTTGGTCCACATCACGAGCCCCTCCTCCTCCCCTCCACCCCCCTCCCTCCCCCCCCCCTCATCTCCCTCCACCTCACGACGTTTCGGCTCCGACACTTCTCTCTTTTTTTTGCGGGAATTGGCGTGATCGTAATTGCATATTACATTTTAAAATAATTAATTGCTCGTAAACCGTCAACTATCGGTAAGTTATTCATGGCGAGGTAGGAGGAATCACCCGTGTTAGAAATTCCATTTTTTTTTTTCTTTTTTCGAGGGAGACGCAGGTTCTGGCCAAGACCCCCACCCCTCCCCCTCCCCCCTCCCCCGGGCTGTAGCATTACCAGATATTAACAAAGCTACAGAACGCATTTATTGAAATTTATCACGCTCTGGGGGGGGGGGGACCCTCGGGCGCACGATCTATCTACATTTTTAAGCCGTGGTCTCGTCGCGTCAGTCTGGGGATTATGACGCCATAAACTATCTTAAAAGAAGATAATTGTCCGTGTAAAATGTCCAAATACTAGACAATTTCCCCGTAAATCAGCGATAGCATCGAGTCAGCCCTGTGCCTCTCTACCACACGCTCGCTTCCTCAAACACTACAAACATTCCAGCCGGGAGAGAAGAGAGGAGAACAAGAGTCGAGAAAAAGAGACGAAAAACGAGTCGAGAAAACGAGAACCGGGAGGAATAAGACGAACAAAATACGGCCAAAAAAAAAAACGAAAAAAGCATCTGCGTCACTTCAGCATCAGCAGCATCAGCATCAGCGACGAACATAACCTGCGGAAAATGTTAGTCAATCTACTCGTTTATCCTTCTAGTAAAACGACATTACAGTATTAGTAGTATTAGTATTAGTAGCCCCGAACACACAGACACACAACTCCACCACCGAAACCCAAGCGTCAAGACCGACGAGGACCTCCCCTTCGAGGACCTCCCCTTCGAGGACTTCCCTTCGAGGAGTTCCTTCGAGGAGGTCCTTCGCCCTGAGCATCCGAAGACGTTTACCTATGACGCAACTGTAGTGGACTTCGATGTACTTGTAGGTGCCCGGGCAATTGTCTCCGAAGATCTCGCTGTTGACGGGCATGGAGCAGCCCTGCGTCAATCCGCACCTGTTGCAATTGCAGGCCTGGTTATGTCTCATTCCACGTGCAATTGATACCCACCGTCGGTCAAGGGATCGGGCACGAGTGAGGTATAATAATAATAATAATAATAATAATAATAATATAATAATATAATAATAATAATATATAATAATAATAAATAATATAATAATAATAATAATAATATAATAATAATAATAATAATAATATAATAATAATAATCATAAATAATAATATAATAATAACAGTATAATAATAATATAACAATAATGTGATGATGAGGTGGGAGGGAAATAAACACGAAATGGGAGAACAGGAAGGAATGACACAAATTGTGAGGAGAATAATAGGGGGGAATACATAACTTAACAATAAGGAAAAAATACGTAACTTAAAAAAAATATAGGGAAAAAACGTAACTAAAAAATAATAATGGGAAAAATACGTAAAAAAAATAATGGGAAAAAATGCGTAACTAAAAATAGACATGTATAAATCAAAATGATAAGATAACCGAATCGAAAAGAAAGTACAGATTGTGTAAGCCTTGGGCGCAGGTCGACTTCCGTTACATTTGTCAGGGTTAGACCCATCTGTGCCAGCTGGGGTTGTGACACCGCCAGCCCTTGTCACATTGTTTACACCGTATACAGTCTATTCATAAAGATCACTTTCCTTTCCCTTCCTCCAGCACTGAAGCTCCGACAGTTCGTCTGTTAATAAAGTACAAATAAACATCTCATTTCCTCCCGAGGAAGTCCCCCGGGGCAGCACTTCAGCGCCACCAGCAGGGTCTCGAGGGCGCGAGGCGGGGGGCGTCGGGCTCTGCCGTGGTGGGCGTTCGGGAGGGCGGCGGATGAGAGGGATGTCTACTTTATCTACTTGAAAGATGGTTCGCCGGTGGCACTGCCCTAATGACAGCGCCTGGGCCTCTGTGAAGCTCCTGTCACTGCGGAGATTTCTCTGGGGCAAATCGGTCTCATTCGCACATGGCAAAATCTGCAACGATTCCGCCCTCTTTTCTATACTTCACAGGTTCCCGGCCATTCCCACAGCGCCATCCTCCTCGCCATAACTCCAGCACAGCTTCTTATATAACAATCATCCCATTTTCCTCTTTGTGCGTGCGCCGCGTCCTCCTCAAATAGCTCCTGCACATCAGTTCTGACATCCGTAACACTCATCCCCCCCCTTCCCCCTCCCCCCTCCTCCGATCGCGCCTCCCCGGCCGCCCTTCTCGCCTCCGAACCAGAAGGGAGCAAGGCCAGGCGGCGGCGGAGGCGCAGGAGGCCCTCGCCCGCCCTGGTTACAGCCGCAGCGCGTCGGCGGCGGAGCGACCCGCTGCGGACACCGAGCCTCCGGGCGACAACCATAATATTACCAATTTCACCCGCGCTGATCCCGACGCCTCATGGCACGCTGGGCCGGCCTGATCCTTATCACTCATGAAGGCTAAGTGTAAAGTTGATTGACTATAATTGTGCAAATAAGCATCGCCTCTCCGCTGTTTCCAAGATTTAAATAATGGATGTTGAAGCATGGCGGAGGGGGGCGGGGGGGCGGGCGGGGGATGCACGAGGAGCCAGGCCCGACCGCCGCGGCAGGTGTTCGCCCCGCACCTCCCCTGCATGCGAGCGCCGGCCAATTGCGGACAATTAGCTACACCTCCGTAATCTACCCGTACAGTGCACAAAGAGCCTCGTGACGCCGCCGAGAACGAAAATGGTCTCAAAACACCGATTTCTTCTCCTTGTGGCTGAACTACGGGAGTCATGGGAGTCCCGAGCGACCTCCTCGCCGGGCGGTCAAAGGGAAACGTCCTTGCAGAGACCTCACGCCATCACGCTGTAGATTAATGTCGAGGATCCGAATCCCTCTTGTCCCGGCTCGCTCCTCGGCTCCATCCGGGCTCCTCCCGCCCTCGCCTCCCTGGCTGATGGGCTCCAGACCCTCTCGCTCGCGCAGTGTGTGTACATGTTTGTATATATGTATATGTATATATACATGTGTAATATATACATATACATACATACATACATAATACATACACACACACACACACACAACCACACACACACACACACACACACATACACATACACATATAATATGTGTGTGTATATATGTATATATACACACACACACACATATATACATATATATGTATATATACACACACACAACACACATATATATATATATATATATGTATATATATATATATATATATATTATATATATATATATATATATATATATAATAACAACACACAACCACTCACTCTCATTCACACACGCGGCATCACGCCCCAATCATGCCAGGGCGGCGCGGGCGGCGACGAGGCGGCGGCGCGGGCGTTGGGGCGCGGGCGTCGGGAACAAATGGGTGATGGATACTCGTTCCTCGGGAGACGGCTGACACGCAAGGCTGACGGGGCTGCTCCTGCGCCTTCAGTCAGGGATTCCTCGCAGGACGGGCGGGTTCCTGCGCACCTGGACGATGCTTACCTGGGTGGGGGGGGTCTCGAGTGGCGGGCTGGTGCGGGCGCGCACGCTCGTTGGCTATCAATCTATGGATTTGTATGTCTATACACACTCAAACCATATCACAACACTTACTCATTCACATACACACAAACGCCTTTCTCTCTCTCTCTTTCTCAAAACACACAACCTCTCTCTCTCTCTCTCTCTCTCTCACACATACACCTCTCTCTCTCTCTCTCTCTTCTCACTCACTTTCTCTCTCACAACACTCACTCTCTCCTCCTCTCTCTCTCTCTCTCTCTTTCACACACACACATACCCCCCCCCCCCTCTCTCTCTCTCACACGCACACACGCAAATTGCAACCGCCTTCGACTTGCCATCACCGCCTGAACCGCCGCCGCGCATCAATTATGGACAAACTCCGCCAAGAAGGAATTATGCATCTGCTACACGGCCCGCTGGTCCTCGGCGCGGGAGGCACGGTGCCGCCGCCGCGAGTGCCACCGACTCGACCTGTAGTAAGACAATGATGCACTCCGAGGCTGCATTGTTTGGCCGGGTTTACGAGGCGGTCCCGCAACAGGTGGTCGCCTCGCGTGGTGGTCAAAGGCGGGGAGGTGCTTCCTTGCCCCCCCCCCCCCCCCCCCCCGCTGCCACGTACGTCTGACACGTGGCACGTGCGGGGCTTCGTGCGAGCTCGGACACAGAAGGACAAGGTCACGTGGTCATCGTATTCATTAAAAAAATCCAGGGATATTTATAGAGAGAGAGAGAGAGAGAGTGAGAGAGAGAGAGAGAGAGAGGAGAGAGAGAGAGAGAGAGAGAGAGAGAGAGGAGAGGGAGAGGAGAGAGAGAGAGAGAGAGAGAGAGAGAGAGAGAGAGAGAGAGAGAGAGAGAGAGAGAGAGAAGGAGAACAGGATAGACAAGAAAGAAAAAAAAAAAAAAGAAAAAAGAAAAAAACTTCCGCCCTGCAATACCCAAGGCTTACACCCCACCCGTAACGACGCAAACGACCTAACCGCTAACACACAACAACAACAACAACAACCTCTTCGGGCCTCAGTCAATGCAACACGCTCGACCTCTCTTACCTCTCTGACAGCACTCTATGCGTCCTGGGGCTCTGGCAGTTGACGGACCACTCAGTATTCCCGTGGATATTGCAGATGGTGATTGAATATCGACCGTAGTTCGCCCTGATTACGTTGATCACAAATCCAGGGTCACAGGATATGCTTAGCGTCGTTCCCTCACACGCGTAGGCTGTCCGGTACGTCGTTCCTGGAATGGAGGGAAAAAGGGGGGTGGGGTCAGTATCGAAGGCAGAGAACACGCAAGCACGCACGCACTTATACATAGAGAAGTACATAGATATGTAGATATATTCTCTTTCTCTCTTCTTTCTTTCTTGCTTTCTCTCTCTCTTCTTCTTTTTGATTTCTCTCTCTCTCTCTCTCTCTCTCTCTCTCTCTCTCTCTCTCTCTCTCTCTCTCTCTCTCTCTCTCTCTCTCTCTCTCACACACACACACACACAAACAGACGAAGAAAACAGGAAACACAATGCACCTACACGAATAATCTGAATCAAAATCAATATTACTTAGCATAATTTGACAGGCCGGTATTACACCCGTGAGTAAAATTTAATCAGAATACTCCACGGTGAATTCAGAATCTTTTTTTTTTTCCTTTTTTTCACTAAATTAGTCAACAGAACTAGAGCGAATGACGATAACGCCGCCGTCCCCGCAGCAACAGGATTCCAAAAACGGCAACGACTGTTCTGCAAGTGTTCATTGAGGGAGGAGCGAGGGCGTGCACAGTACAACCGAAAGAAAGGAACGGATGGGAATGGGGGAAGGATGGGGAGGGATGAGGGAAAAGGATGGAAGAGATGGAGGGGAAAGAAGGAGGAAGGATGGGAAGGGATGATGGGGGAGGGAGAAGAAAAGGGAAGGGGAGAGATGAGATGAGATAAGAAAAGAGAAGGGAAGGGATAACACGGAAGAGAGAGGGGGGTAGAAAGAAAGAAGAGCAGAGATGCAACGAGATGAGAAGGAAAGGACGAGAGAGAGAGAGAGACAGAGAGAGAGATGAAGGAGAGGAGAAAGAGAACGAGAACAAGAGAGCGAGAGAAGGCCTTCCAAACAGGCCCAGACCGCACCGCAGCCGGAGAACCGAACTGCCGAGCAATCCTACTGGGCCATTACCTCAATTAGCTCCCCGGCCGCCTAGGTCAGTCCGATGGCTTCCAGATAACCCCAGATTGCCTTGGATCAAAGCAGGGAGGCCTCACACACACAGGCCCCAAAGCCAACCAGTGTCAACATTGCAACACCAGCTCCCCCAATACCACATTGATGCGGGCGGGTCTATTTCCAGGGCTGTGTATTGGAAATCAAATAGGTTTCTCGTGTGGACTGGGGGGCGGCGAGGTGGGGAGGGGGGAGAGGGGGTGGGGTGGGGGTGGGGAAGTGGGGGGTCTAATGGATTAAATTCTTTATTGCGAGAAATGTGGCGCGAGGTGTTTTCTGCCTCTGTCTGTATCTGTCTTTGTCTGTCTGTCTGTGTCCTCTTCTCTTCTCTCTCTCTCCTTATCTCCCTCTTTCTCTCTCTTTAGACTGTCGTTAAAGCTTTCGCATTTTCCTTTGTTGCGACATGATGGAAAAATAAGAAGTCTTATTGAGGATTCTGATATAAGCAACCTTTTTCTTTTTGTTACAGATAGTGCCACAAATGGTGCCCAATGCAGTTACGTCCCCGTTCCCCGTCTCCCGAAGATCCCCGCGCTCTCTGTTGCAGTGCCACAAACGACCCATTTTCACCGTTACCAAGGACTCCCCTGATGGCACTGGAAGGGACCTGGGTGTCAAAGGGCGGAGGAGGAGGAGGAGGAGGAGGAGAGGAGGAGGAGGAAGGAGGAGGAGAGGAGGAGGAGGAGGAGGAGGGAGGAGGAGGAGGCGCTGACCCGGTCGTTCCTATCTTACCTCCTTCCCTTCCCTTCCCTTCCTTCTTTTCCACTTCTCTCTCCCTTTCCCTTTTCTTCTCCCTTTCTTCCCTTTCCTTTCTCTTCCCTTCCCTTCCCTCCTCCTTCCCCTCCTTCCCCCCCCTCCCCTCCTCCTCCTTCCCCTTCCCTCTCCCTCCTTCTCCCCCCCCCCCTTCCTCTCCTCCAACAAAAATTCCGCAAATGGACCGAAGTGTTACAGGAAAATTCCCTTGACCCTTCCCCCCCTCCCCCCTCTCCCCCCTTTCTATTTACTGCCGCCGCCCCGCCCACGCCCGCATCCTGCCTTCATCCGGACTGCTTAAAGGTGCGAACTCTTAGAGCAGCGCCGTTTCCTTTCCCATAAGCATGAGCATCTTTGGAGAATACACGTTATGTACGTATGTATGTATGTATGTATGTATCTGTGTGTGTGTGTGTGTGTGTGTGTGTGTGTGTGTGTGTGTGTGTGTGTGTGTGTGTGTGTGTGTGTGTGTGTGTGTGTGTGTGTGTAAGGCTACATGCAACAATAGCATACAACAAGAACAGAAACACGAGCAGAATAACCCAGCGAAAAAAGTGTGACACAGGGAAGGGGGAGTGGGGGAGGGGGCCTTCGGAGGCTGGGACAGAGAGAGAGAGAGGAGAGAGGAGGGGGAGGGAGGGGAGAACCGCCCCGCCATCCTCCAGGATCCGTCAACCGGGGATTTATGGTATTCCGTGGCCTGGGCGCGGATACTCACACAATACTGAATGTTTTATTTCCCGCGAGACGCCGCCGGGATGCGATTTGCCTCCACTTGCTCTTCCTCCGCCGGCACGCGCACCGCATCAAAGGACGGGCGGCGTTATTGGATCCAGGTGCGGAAGGATGCTTTCTTTAATAAGGACTTCGCTCGCGACGTATCCACGCCCCCCGGGACCTCAAAATGCTCGCGGAAGGAAGGTTTCTTTCATAAGGATTTTGCTCAACATATCCACGCCCTTCAGGATCCAAACGCCTTTTGCGGAAGGACTTTCGGGACTCCATAGGACCTCAAGGAAGCGGACATATCCACGTCCCTCGGATTTTCAAAACGCGCTTTCTTTCTCAAGGACTCAACATATCCACGCCCTTCGGGACATCAAAACGCCTCGCTCACAACATATCCACGCCCTCAGGACCTCAAAACGCCCGCGGAAGGAAGCTGTCTTTCATAAGGACTTCGCTCACGACATATCCACGCCCCTCGGGACCTTAAACCCCTCCCTGGAAGCATATCACAGAAACGCTTGTGTTATGATTAAGAACAGAGAGAGAAGAATAACACGAGGGGGCATCTGACCGACAAAAAAAAAGCTTTTAGATGTATCTGGAAAGTAATTTTCTTTGGCATGTAGGGATTATTGTATCTGGCGGGTTGTAATAACTCACCGTAGTGGCTTACTGGCCGAGCCTCCTGCCTGACACCTGCAATTTATGGCTAGCGTGGTGTGCGCCTACCTGAGCCCCTCCTCCCCTTTCTCCCCTCCTCCCCTCGCCCCCACCCGCACATACGCGGATTGACTCATGGGCCCCAACTTCCTATTATGATAAGCCTCAGAACAGCGAGTAGAAAGCGAGGGGCGCGCGCGAATCCCGGGATGGGCCGAGGGAGATTAGGAAGACGCGGTCGAGATGTTTACCTTCTTGTTTTTTTTTCTTAAAGACTTTTGAAGATAGTTACTCCTCTTGAAGATAGAGTTACTTCTTTCCTTCTTTCTTTTTTTTAAGATAGAAAGACTTACTACTCTCTTGAAGATAGATAGTTACTCCGGTCTTTCCTTCTTTTTTTTTTAAAGACTTTTTGAAGATAGAGTTACTCCGGTCTTTCCTTCTTTTTCTTTTTCTTAAAAGACTTTTTGAAGATAGTTACTCCTCTTGAAGATAGAGATTTACTCCGGTCTTTCCTTTCCCCCCACCCCCCCACCCCCGCATGAAGTTTTGAAGAGCTGGGCGCTATAAACGTCTTAGCAGCTTAGGCCAGGAACCCCCGGGGCCTGACGTGGCAACAGGGAGAGCGAAGGGAGAGCTGGGAGCAAGCCAGGAGACGTCGGGAAGCGAAGGGCGTCGTGGCGTCTCAGCTCATGGAGGCAAAGGGTACACTCCCCGGGACGAGTGAGACCGCCCGCGCCTTCGGAAGTTTGAGTGTGGGCGGAGTATGTATGGGCGGCCGGAGTATGGAGTATGGGCGGGAGAGGTGGGCGGAGTATGGGCGTATGGAGAGGTGGCGGAGTATGGGCCCCGGAGTATGGGCGTGGAGAGGCGGAGTATGGGCGTGGAGAGGTGGGCGGAGTATGGGCGCCCGGGATATGGGGGGTGGAGAGGTGGACGGAGTATGGTCGTGGAGAGGCGGGCGGAGTATGGGCGTGGAGAGGTGGGCGGAGTATGGGCGCCCGGGCGGGTATGGGCGTGGAGAGGCGGGTGGAGTAGAGCATGGGCGTGGAGAGGTGGGCGGAGTATGGGCGTAGAGGGCATGGGCGTGGAGAGGCGGGCGGAGTATGGCTTACGAGAGCATACGAGAGGCGAGCGGAGTATGGAGAGAGCAAGAGACCAAGAACCGACAGAGATTCGGACGAGCGGAGAAACGAGAGAAGAACGAGAATGGAGCGACGGGCGCGGACAGGGAGGCGCCACGAGAACGCACAATAATTTATTGTTGTTTTGGGCAATAATATATGTTAGGATCCCGAGCTTTACATATAACTGGGCTATTGTTATGCTAATGCACTGCTCACTGCCCACTGAACCCGCGATGATAATGTATTTCTTACGCTAAATCTAGGGAGCTCTATTTTGCTGCCTTTTTTGTGGGAAAATGGATGTATTTAGGTCTTGGTTGTAAAAGCATCAGGGATGGAAAAATCTTAATAAAGGAAAGACGAATAAAAGGGGAAACGGGGCAAGGGGCGATAAGAAAGAAAGACGAATAAAAGGGGAAATGGGGAAAGGGGGCGATAAGTGCTAGAACATGAGGGAAAGGAAGGCAGGAAGGAAAGTGGAGAAGGATCGGGAATAAGAGTGTACGGAAGAATAGAAAGGAATCGGCGCGTAAGCGAGGGAAAGAAGGAGAAAGAGAGGAAGAAAGTAGGATGAGGGAAGGGAGAGGGAGAGGGAAGGAGAGAGACGGAAAGGGTAAGGGAGAGTAAAGAACGAAAGACAGGGAGAGGAAAGAAGAAAGAGAGGGACAGGGAAGGACGAGTAGAAGCAGAAAGAGGGAGGAGGGAAAGGAGAGGGAAATACGGTGCATGTAGAAGCAAAGAAGAAGGCAGAGGCAAG